CATGTGTGCATATTTTTGAGCTTTAGACCTTATGAGTCACGACATTGAGGCTCCTTCTCCGTTGTTTCAAGGTGCAGGTCAAGGGTTAGGACTTGGATTTAAGGTTTGAATCCGGTCTAGATCAGTGTCGGAGAGAATAGACTGATGTCCAGCATGTGGTGTTGATAGTTAACTTTAGTGCTGAGACCTGTAGATAATGCAGGCTTTACAAGTAAAGCAATGCAAATGTCTGTACCTGTGTGTCCTTGTTAACTGTGGCCTCGTTCCGCCTTGCTTCTTAATTAAGAGACCATAGGCCTCCCAGCACTGCCTGCTATCCCACACTCCACTGGGGCAGAAAAGGACAGGAACAGAAAGAGAGCAGTAGAAAAACAGGAGAGAGAGAGAGAACAAGGAAATGAAAAAGCTATGCGTCAAAAAATATTGAACGAAAGAGTGATAGATTTAGAAAGGAGAGGAAGGGAAACTAAAAGAAGGATTGTTTGTGAAGGAGTGAGAAGCCAGAGCTGATGAGGGAGAAAGTAATAGAAAGTGTGGAACTGTGGATTTAGAGAGGGAGGGATAGTGTAGACTAATAGGACGCAAGGCGCATACACATCCTCCGATTCCCCTGCTGAATTGATGCCACTCATTTCCACAGCCATCTATGCATCAGATGATGCATGCATCAGATGTGTGTGTGTGTGTGTGTGTGTGTGTGTGTGTGTGTGTGTGTGTGTGTGTGTGTGTGTCGTGTGTGTGTGTGTGTGTGTGTGTGTGTGTGTGTGTGTGTACGTGTGTGTGTACGTGTGTGTGTGTGTGTGTGTGTAGTGTGTGTGTGTGTGTACGTGTGTGTGTGTGTGTGTGTCGTACGTGTGGGTATGTGTGGTTTTTAAGCGGTAATCTGTTCCATCTTATTCTTTACTTTCCATCTGTATGGGATCTTTCGCTCCGCCGCTCCCCATCTCTTGCTATCACATCTAACTCACTCCTTGGGAATGAGCGTGTGTGCGTGCGTGCGTGCGTGCGTGTGTGTGTTGTGTGTGGTTGTGTATGTGCATATCTGTGGTTAGATACATGCCTGTATATCCTTGTATGCCTGCCTGGCTATCTCTGCCATTCTCTCTCTCTCTCTCTCTCTCTCTCTCTCTCTCTCGTCAGTGTGTGGTGAGTGGCGAGATAGTGGGTTAAATTTTAATGGTGCTGCCATCTCTCAGTAGCTTCTGAAAGAGGGCCGATGCAGACTGACGTACTCACTGAGCCGTGAGAAGAGACAAGACAGAGAGAGAAGTAATAGCTCGCTAGACATACACACACACACACATTAGGTCACAGGTCCACAGTGCAAACAACAGGTATAATAAAGAAAATACCACACAGTCTTGTGTGAGAGATTTTATTGACTTGCTGTCCAACCTGAAAGGCAAATTCTGGGATTTTTAAACTTCTCTTATTGTTGGGGTTTTGGCTAAGCATAACATGGCATTGAGCACTGTCTTATTGTTTTTAATAATAAAAGAAAAACAAGTCACATCCAGGTCCGCCTGCAGGTTGAACTACTTGGAAGTAGCTCTTCAGTGCAAAAGGTGATCCTTACATTACATTTTTTAATATTATTATTTTTTTTTTTTACGCTTTCATCCAAAGATACATGCACAGGATGTATGAGCAGTGCATTTTGCTGTGAATATGCCTTACCATCAATCATTTTTATTTACAGAAGACCCAGAAAATCTCTCCACACACAGTCACTCTAGGAATGCATTGAGCACAGAGGCTGATCTCCGGATGGCATTATGTGTGTATGAATCTGTGAACTCAATCACACAGGCACGCACACACATACACACCGTCAGTCACAGAAACACGTGCCAGTCTCGTAGCTATATTGTGTGTTGTTCCTTGATTGTTTTCATTCGCCCAACCTCACATAGCTGTCTGATTGGCAACACGTCCCCTGATGGCTCACTAAGCACATGGTGGGATTAGGTGTGTACCTCTGAATTTGTGTTTTTGTTTGTGTCTTTGTGTGCATGCATGTGTGTCTTTTTGTCTAGCCCCAGCTACAGCCAATTCCAGAGAGAGGCCAGCAGACAGATGTTCTAGGAGAGGATTTGCACGTCTGTCTCTTTGTTTAAATATCTATTTCTCTTGTTTAGTTTATTTTTTGGGGGTTGGGGGATTATTTTCTCTCATGGGGAGGGGGGAAAACTGATTTCACAAACTGGAAATCCTGCAGCACCCCCAATGGATCTTTGATGAGAGAGAGTTTTCCCCAGGTTCCCACGTAGAGGTGGAGGGTGCCAGATCATGGTTGTCATCCCCCTGCAGCTACTTAGTTTGACTATGATCCAGTGTTATTGATGTATTTCAAACACCTGCAGTAGTTCTCCCAAAGCATTTGCAACAAAGACAAAGGTTCACATACACAAATGAAAAATGTTCGCCGTGTTCTCGGTAGTATGGATTCTAGAATCATTATACTTGCTGGTTTTCCATTGATTCAAAGCTTTAAATAAAATACACTAAATTCTAGTACATATGTATGTTTGTATGTATGTATGTTTGTATGTATGTATGTATGTGGAGATGACGGTGTATCTGACGAGTGTGTTAATCATAACTGAGTCTTTCTGGAATTGGAATCTCATTTCCCTTTTCTTTTTTTCTTTCTTACTCTGTTGCATGTTCACACTGTCTTTCTCCTCATTCTTATCTCATCCTTTTTGCTCCACAGTGTCTTCCCCACAATACTGCCTCCACTCGCAATTGCTCCACTTTGTTACTCATCCCTTTTATCTCTCCTCCAGCATTGCTCTCAACATATCTCTTTTTCCCTTTTCCTTTTTTCCTGTCCTCTCTAGTTTCCTTGGCTTGGTCGTATTATCAAGTTGGCTGAGAAAAACCATTGTGACAAGCACCAGCAAACAGCCCAATATTTTTGCCTCCAGTCAGACACACTTTTTCAAGTGTATGTGTGTGTCCTGCGAGCGATGGCTGACATTAGAAAAGGCAAAACTCCCTCCTCCTCTCCAGCCCCCTCGTTGTCTCTGGGCTTTGCTCAAGGGGTAATTAGACCTAGCAAAACTGGTCCTTGCCTCCTCTTTGCCACATATGTGTGTGTACATGCTCCTGTGTGTGTTTGTGCATGTGTGCCAATCTTTCCACCATGCGGTCAAGTCACAATTGCTAATCAGGCCTGCGAGCCTTGCCTGAAGAGACCAAGAGAAGGAGAAAGAAGGGTGGGGGAACTGGGGAGGGGAGGGAGCAAATGAGTGAGTGCTTTCCTTTGTCCTCATCACTGAAGCAGAGATAAAGACGAGTGAAGGGATGGATGGTTGGAGACGAGAGGACAGAAACTGAGGGATTAACAGAGGATGAGTGTGTGCTCTAGCCCTGCGATGAGCTTTTAACTGTCCTCCATGGCATGACACCGTGTAGACCTCCATTTCTCTCTGTCCTCCTTTCATCTATTTTGCTTTGCATAAGTCAGAACTGCTTGTATTCATAAAGTGCTTCTCTATCACTTACTCATGCTCATTTTTTTGCACTCTCCCTTATTCTGGCTCCTTCTTGCTCCCATTTGCTCTCTGTCTGCTATCTTTCCATAAGGTAATAATGAATATTTGAGGGCTGGCAGGAGCGCAGCACCTAATCCTTTTTGCCCAGGGCAAAATGTGCCTCATGGGGTCCATGTGGGTTACAGTTCATCTAACTTTTTAATTGAGATAGAAACCCAATTTATAAGTTTTCATTTCTACCTCTGTGCTCATGTAAATGAGACTTTCTGCATGGTTGTGCATATGTCATAGAAGCTGTCAGGATGGACCGTACACTTCACATGCAGGAAAATGTCAGTACATTTAGCTGGCAGCGGCCACTGTACATAGAGAGAGTAATATTTAACTGCACAACCAAGACCAAGAGCTTGTGAACCCACACCCCGGTGAGTGAAGGTTAGGTGCGTGTGCAAACTGTATTTCCCTAATGGGAATGATGAAGTATCAAGTTTATTTGCAGTTCCCAATTGCTTATCTTAAAGGCTGTATTTGAATATGAGAAAGACCTTCTCAGAGAGCTGTCTGTATGAACTCTAATCTCCTTTGTCAGTCTCATACACACACACACACACACACACACACAGTATGTTAAGTGTCTCAAATGTTACTGCATGTCCATCCACAGCACTAGGAACAAGGATGAGGGTTGATTGATACCCAGCATAACAGTGAGCGAGCCTGCTTAATGATGTAATTCACTCTCCTCCCCGTAGAGGGAGCACTGTGCTGTGAAGGCCAGTTCAGCGTCAAGGACATTCACACTGTGAATAACAAACACCAAAGCACCACACAGACTACCAGAGTACCACAGAAAAACTACTTACATACTCAGTGAGTCACTCAGTTAGTCACTCAGTCATGCACACACATACACATACACAAACACAAACACACACAGCTGGTTTGTGAGTTTGAACACTGAACCTTTTGTGTTTTTCTGTTGTCTCCATGTACCTCATTCAAGGCGCAGGTGTTGTAGCTGGCTCAAGGTCACATCCTCATTGTCTTTGTCCTTTAAACCAACTTCTCTCTATCTCTCTCCCCTTTATTTGCTCTCTCATCGTCTCAGTTTTCACACCTTTATTTGCTCTCGCTTCTTTTGATTTGATTTCCTTCTCTCCTTTACACTCTGTAGCTCTCTCTCACTCCCTCTATCTCTCCTCCTTGTAATTAGCCAGTGTAATTGCTGTAGTAAATCTTTTCTGCTGTCCCAAGGAGACTGGCTGATATAGGACTGATTTAATAAGCACACCATAGCAGCTCACCTCTCCCCCTGTGTGTGTGTGTGTGTGTGTGTGTGTGTGTGTGTGTGTGTGTGTGTGTGTGTGTGTGTGTGTGTGTGTGTGTGTGTGTGTGTGTGTGTGTGTGTGTGTGTGTGTGTGTGTGTGTGTGTGTGTGTGTGTGTGTGTGGCAGGTGGGTGGGGGTCTGTCTCTGTCCTCTGTTATTTGCTATGGGGATTT